AGCACCATGACCAGATATCTCAAAAAGGGCTTAGGCCCCTACATACCTTTGTAGGATTACTGTCTTTTAGTCTCTCGCCGTTTTTCTTGCATGTATACACCCTAAATTTCTAAAAAGATCATATATCAACTCAACTCATGGTATAAAACGTCTGCATAATCTGAAAACCTGATGATTTGCTAGCCATTGACCCCCCCCCACACACTACATCCGACACCAATTAACAAACCGCGAGACAGTTAATGAAATATGGCTCGCAATTTGTTTTATCTAATTAATTCCTCCACGAGGAGCCAGAGGCTGGCTGGCACAGGTATGATCAATGCACCGCAGGCGCAGACTACAATGCATACGGGAACCGTCGGCTAATGTAAGCAACGACATACGGAACATCGGGACAGAGAAAGAAAAACGGGAAGGGATTCGGAAAATGAAGAGGACCGGCGGTATTGAGTTCAAATCCAAATCGAACCTTAGAAAGTCACCTGTTATAGAAACGGAAATAGCATACATCGCCTCACCGTTTCGGTGATATTCATGTATGCGTGGTTATCGTGAATTCTCACAATTTTGCATTTTACATATACACAACACAATGCCCAACTCCCCTCCCCCCAAAAAATACTTTGCCACTTATCAATTCGTTACAAAATATCAAAGAGCATTTTAAAATTCACTGTTATTTGTATGAAAAGATAGGCAATCTGATTGCCCAAGGGTGTTTACTGCTATGCAAGCCCAAGATGTAGCTGCCGTCAACATAAAAGGTTTCATTATTCATCGACAAATATTATGTGGTTCCCTCATTTATCCTCCGGGCCGGCCGTAAATGAGGTACTCCCTACGGGCGATTCGCTGGGGCGGAAAGTGCAGGACCGCCCTACATTGGATAGGTATTAACGCTGTTGGGTCTTCACAGGCCAAAAGACACTGACTAAAGGAGGATTATCATTTTAATGAGCCCCCAGAAATACAAGCCGTATAGTGGGGAGTGCGTCAATCGTAGGTGATGATTTGCAACTTCCTCTAAATGGGATATGCCAGACTACAAAGAAAATATTGAAGATGTAGAGTAAATTTGATAACAAGGTTACCATAAAAGAAACCTTTTCAAGGCGATAGTGTTCTAAATGTACACCGAATGCAATATCTGTTCGCCCAAGATATAATACTCCTTTTGAGAAACTACTTAACTTTAAGTATACATGTATTTGAAGTAAGAATCTCATCCCACCTTCCCATTCCTAACATGCAGCCAATTTTACATACTGGGCATGGATTATACAGGTGTCTATTTGTATCCCCTTGGATATCTCAAACACATTCTTGGTATTCGGTGAAGGGGGTGGGGAATACGGGCAATGAAAGGAAGTTACAAGCTGTGCCATATATTTTGCGTACTTCATATGTTTTAACTTAAAGATTCGTACAGAGTATACAAGAATCTTGACACCACAAGGGCCAACTGGGATGCAAGCAGATGGGGTGTCAGTTTCGATTGCCAAGAAAACTAGGAAACCCTGTCAGAATCATTAGGTGCTGGTTATAAGCGATGGAGTGTGAAAAGGTCATCACATATGGCAAGATCCCGCGTGATTACAAACTTGTCCAAAAACAGGGACTGCAATTTGTAAACGTGTGTCAGCAAAGGTGTCACAGTAATCATGGGGAAACAAGCAGCACACTTGTGCACAAATCTACCAATGACGGAAGTGCACCACAAAAGTTATTCAATTGCCTGAAATCAAGTCGTCATCTTTCCATATAGAGCTACACTGGTGATTTAGGAAAAAAAGTTATTTGAAAAAAATACTGCAGTTACAGAACAACAGTTATATTGGCCAATCTGATTTTGATTTCAAGCACTGACCAATCACATTAATATAATTTTTCAGCCAAGCGACTGGCTCCATTTTAAAAGATATACGATGTTGTGTAGATTTGTCTTTAAAATATTTTCTTAAAGTCTACTTACCTGAAAGTTGATGAGCTGGTACTTAGGACAAAAACTGAGGTAAAAAAACTAACTGGTTTACTTCCCACGTAGGGTAACACATAAAATGTCTGGCTTCTTTGTCATCTAATCCTAAATGCAATGGAAATGTCAAAAAGGTTTATCTTTGCCCACGTCATGTGAGAGAAATGCCTGACAAGTCACATTTCGACCCATGGGCGTTGGGGGGGGGACTTCAATAAAAAGGGAAAGAAAAAGGGGAAAAGCAAAACAAAGGAAAATCATGAATTTGCTTGAAAAATCCTCCCACTGGTAATAAATCAGATGTACTTGAGAAGTGCTCCCCCCCCCTCGAAAAAATCTTTTCCCCCGAAAAAAAGTTTGGCGACGCCCATGCTTCAATCATCACTTCCAGTTTTTCAAAAACGAAAGACGCCTGAAAGTCGTAACGACCTCGAGCGATTGAACAGCTTTACGGGAACCTTTTTTATACAGAGAAAAGTTGTCACATCAAACAATAATTGTGAGACTAGATCAACTGGACTTTGGCGAAATACATTTGATAACATCCAACTTTCCTGTGAAGATCATATTGAGAGTGGCTTGGCTATGTCGTTTTGCATTTTTGAAAATAAACTTTCCCTCTGATAAAACAAGGCTATTGAGACGTAGTACGTATTTCAGTCATGCAAAAATCACACAAGCATTAACCATGAGGTGAGTCACCTTTTGATTATGAGAATAATAAAAAGCTTCCACCTTGACATGAATAAAATAAATGTCACTTATGCAAGCCATAAACCACAGCGACGCATTAGCATCGGTACTCTCAGGACAGCCGTGCCAATTAGGCAAAGGAACATAGCTACTGGCTCAAGCCTGGGATCCGATTTTCCCACAATCTACCACACCAACTTTCATGACTTTCTTGCTTTGTATGACCAAGATCATAAACACAACACGTATATCCGCGTCGATTGAGCTTTTATCTTAATTGCAATTATTTTTCACTGAGCACAACTAGTGCTGCGTAAGAATACTGTGGAATCTTCTTAATTCTTGAGATACTGACAGAATTGAATTGGTGACTTTCTGAAGGGGATCACTTCAGAAGCAATGAAAACTTCTACACTGAGAAAAATTTGGTCTGAAAGGAATTTGCGTGGGTTCCGTTTTCAAATCATTGATTTTCAGACAGGGATCCATGGGGGCTGGGGGTCATATAGTAAAAGTAGAAATATTACATCTTGTAAGGTTATCACTTGTACATGGTAAGTGTCATATGGAGACTGGATTCAAATATGAAGGGAAGTGCATCAATAACAATGCAATGGAGTATCTATGTGCTCGCTTGTCCGTAACAATTTAGACCTTAAAAACTCGGTCGGGACTAACCCTCCCGCGCAAATTTGCTTGATCCGCCCCTGGTTTTGCAATGCGGAACACTGATAACCATTCCGTAGGCTTGCATGTGGCTTTATTGACGCGAAGTGAATCAATTATGTCTGGTTTTTCGCGGCACTTCTTCATGTCTAAATGCAGCTCTAGAGCAGACGGTTTAGGGATTGATAGAAAAATACGGCCGTGATCAAGCGATGCAGTGATGACTCGCGTCGGTATTGGAAGCTCTTAGTCATGCGTGCCAGCATGTAAACAGCTAAGAAACATGCAACACGTGCCCCATGCACGCAACCGATGCTGGCCAATGCCCCCTTGCTCTTTTTTTTTAGACTCGCCTAATCATTCTCGTCGGTGTTGAATAACGGCAATTTTGGACTGCGGCTGTTCTGCAGAAGTCTGTGGGTATCCACCTATGCTTTTAGAGTGATAATGTTTCTTTCCCTAGCTTTTGATCGGGAAGGGCTGGGCACTGCCATGGTCTCACTCGCTCGGGCTATTACGTCAAAGCCAAAGTTGGCCACGCCGAGTAATCCTCTATCCAGCCGCGTCGATAATGTTACGGTGACAGCTAACGACGGCCCGTGTTTCCCCTCGAGGGTCTAGCCACTGACTGAGAGGTGGTGCGGGGGTGGGCCGGTGCGTACGGCTGGGCGCGGACTTTGCGTGCGCCGGGGAGGATGGAGAAGTGGACGCATCGGTGTGCGTCACGGTGAGGTGCCCCGTTTGTGTGAAAAGGCCAGCAAACTGGACAGTTAGTCATCGTCCTCGCATCTCCAAGCAACAGTGGAGGAATCACGTTTATCTGACGACTGTGTCGTTGTCTGCCCTTCCACTCAAGATAACTATTTTCAGTCATACCTTTGATGCATCACGGACGATTTTCGTCACACGTGCGTACGCGTGGGCACAAATTTACCTATCAAACACGGCCTCATTTCGAAAGCCCTTTTTTAACATGAACCATTCAATGTTAAACTGTAAGGGACCAAATGACAGGTCATCAGTTTATTGTGTAACTTTTTTAGTTTTCAAACTGAAATGTCATTTACTTATTTAAGCATAAACAGAAAACAGAAATGAAAAGATAAAGTTGCTACACCAAAGAATAAGAGAGGTACGAAATGAAAAGGCCTGAACGTGACGTGACGGCACCCTAAAGAGAATTACCTCAGCCATTTAGTAACGCTATATTTAAATCCTTTTTCCATTTCTACTGATTGGCCGACAGGTAACATGGGGGTGTTGTTCAGCTAATGGGGATGTTCATTATGCCATTGATCAATCTAAGGTGTACTGAAGAGCACATGAACCATAGAAAAACCGAATTGTTTTGGTTACTTCATCACAGAGGAGACCCTGAGACGTAAAAGAAAAAAATCAGACCATGAGACATCGATCGACAGACCGTTAATAGGTTTCTGCAGCCCCACGGGACAGATTAAAACCTTGAAGGAGCCGGTCTGCGACGTCTCCGGTGGAGAAAAAGCACGAGACGGTGGTCCTTTCAAACCGAACAGCAGCCATGAACGGCCGTGGCCCTTTAAAGACCCAAAGCCCACACACTCATCAACAGCACGCCTCCTCTGCAGCACTGGAGCTATAAATGTCCTTTAATACAATAGCGCACATCTCTGTTTCACTTGGGCAGCACTCGCGAGTGTACAGCACGTCCGACCTCCCCTCCTCCCACTGATTCTCTCATCCCTCCCCGTCTTGATCAGCATCTTTGTGTACCTGACAGTGGTAAGCCGCGTCTGAGCGCCCGTCACTCAAAAGAGGCGAGCCCCGTATTCACGGCGGACAAGATAATCAATCAGGCGGGACCAGGTCACGCGCCGGTATCGGTTCATACAGGTTGCCGCGATACCCAAAGACCACGTCCACCAACACTTCTTGTCGCTGTGTCAATACGGTGATCGTTTACTCCAGCCGCAACCAGTGACCTGATCACGCGCTGGAGCCATCCCCCAAACCAGCAGAGCGTCACAGCTTCTGATCTTTTCCCGACACTGCGAACTCTCTCTGCTTCCTGGAGCGCTGGGGCCGTGTTTCGTTTTTTCTTCCGGAGGGGTCTACCCCACGTGTCAGCAATTTGCCCGGTAATTTAGCGATGCCCAATTTCCGCCCATCACAATACAGCCGAACCAACGTGCTTTCATCGGCAGTGCATGCGATTGCGTCACCGTCAAAGCGTCTGCCGTATAAAACGGGCCCATACCAGTCGTACAATTCAGAAGTCGTTTTGGTATACAAGAGGAACCGTCTCAACCATTAGCAATTAGCATAGTTGTAGCCAGCCCTACAGATGAAAGCATAGATCTTTTTTGTTAAAGCTCAACGTCGGGTGTTCTCCTTGTCGTCGCATCGTCAGATTTTTTGTGTGTGTCGGACAGCAACACCTCAGTTAAGCCTCGTGGAGAGCATTCAGAAGAGGCGCCTGCATCCACAATGTGCCTTATGAATTTCCTAAACGGAGCTGGTAAGTTGAAGCTATCACTTTCTCTCTTTTTTAAAACCATTTGCGAAGAAAGAGGGAAATCACCTGTTGAGGAGGCGCGTACATGTGAGAACGCGCGCAAAATTTCTTGGACGTGATCCAACTCCACTCTCTCGGTCACCTGAAACGTATTCATCATCGTGGTAAAATATTCACGATGTGAAAGGCATAGGCCTATGGGAATCCATAATAAGTGCTTGGGGCAGACCATGGTGCGATTTCTTGTAGATGTTAAACAACACAATAGATTGTATATTCAAGTTAAAGTCATCATTGTAAACCATTCTGAGCTCAGTTAGTGCATGCAGGTTGCTATCAGTCACGCGCATTTTCCCCATAAAACAAGTACATTTTTTTCTACTTCAGCTACATAGTCTCGTCGGACATGGAATTGTCGTTAATTTTATTATTTTTGTACACTACTTTTCAAGCGCCAATTACCGCCCCAAACGTCACTTGGAAAATCAGTCAGGTTGTAGACACTACACAGACGTACTAACGCCCACCAACAGATAGCAACAGTGCAAATAACAACACAGCACGACAGACAGACGGACAGACAGGCACACACCCACACAGCCTCAACAACACAGCGTGTTAGTTGAAATAGTGCACAAATGCCACATTAGTGATCTATCAACGCATTAAAAAACCACGGTAAACCACAAGCCTTTACGTTTTACCTTCATATGAAGGGTGGGGAACAAAGCGGGACAAAAGTCGGTCCTGTTTGCACGTAATGGCATTAAAAACGTACTTAATTGCTGTGTAAATTCTACGTGATTATACGCACTTCCATTGCGTGGGCTTGCCCCCGTCTAATGACCAGAGAGGCAACTCAGATCAGAACAGGAAGCAACTGATGATGAATGTTGGGAAACGGGCGAGGAAATTGGGTCAATTTCAATCAACACTTTATCGAATAGAAATTATTTAATAAAAAAAAAAGAAAACGAATAACATTTCGTATTTAAACTGGTCCTAACAGGCCAACGGTTTCGCACGAGTACTTGCTGTGGCTTTAGCTTATTTGTGTCGATTTTTGAAAAGATTTCGTGGTCCTTGATGAAGTTCAGCTTCAGGTCTTGAATTCTTACCTAGTGTAATGTGTAAAAACACTCATTGAAATGATCTGTGCGTCTACTCCACCCAGTAGTGCATCCCCCTCTTGAGTCTGGGGAGCAAAATGAATAGTTTTCTTGACAGATTGTCCAATTTTGTATCATAAGAAAACTCCCCTAAAAAATGAGGTGCACATGTTAACGGTTTCGTCTCTGATCTATTTGTGGTTTAATGTAAAACATGTCAATCTTCACATTCAAATAATACTGCACTTATATATCGGTTTACTGGGTTTTAGTGACGTAATATTTTCGGTGCCCTAATTTTTTTCAGTACCAGCTTATATGATTTTGTCTTGTGTAATAAGCTTTTACAGTCAAAAAAGATCGCAACCTAGTTTTGAGTGTATATCTTTTAATATCAATATCACATTGCTTTCAGAGGGTTTCATCAGTCATCGAAGCAAATGTTGTTGTTTTTCTTTCGATTTATTGTTTGCAAATCATGACGCAAGTTTAGAGAGCCCGATTATTCTTCCTAAACGGGGTACAAAGAATATTAACTTGCTTTGTCATTTATTCGTCACTCGGTTAATTTCCCCATAGGCCCCTAACCTACACCGAATTTAAATTTGTTATGTGAGTTCAAAATTCCCGTACTCTCTTTACAATTCAAATTGGCTAGAGTGTGATTTTCAACACGTACGCCTTTTAGATGAATATGTAAGTCGCTTCATTCGACACGATTCTAAACGCACCAATGATGTGACACCTTGGCATCGGCTATGAAGATATTTCTTATTATCAACTCTTCATCCATAAGATAGCATAGGTGTTAGCTGCCATAGCTTATTAAGGAAGTAATCTTATGACCTCGTGCAAGTGTAATGAGAAAACACCTGGTTAATAGTGTTTTTATTTTTTATTTTATGTGAAAGTTTTGCTCTCAATGTGTTTATTTCGTTATCGAAAAAGGTTAGCGAAGGGATGGGGGCATTTGTAAGGCGGATGCCAAGGTTGAAAAAAGGTGGAAAAGTGGGAAGCAAGCAAGGATGCCATTGCATTTCGGCCACGTAAATATCGTTGACGGCATTCGCTAATGCGACGAGAAGGCAGTTGGATCCCGTTTCAGGCACGCATCCACGCCAAAAGCGCACTGTGACGCTTCAAGTTACATTCAAGATGTTTTGATAAACAAAAGCCCGTTGGAGATTCGGTCGGTCTAGTTTCGTGCCTACAAGTGCCGCTCGAGACGCGCCAAAAGTCATAGGGAGAGACGCTACGTCAATCAGTCAGGAGGCCTAGGCAACAATTAAACGTGTGAAACTATAACGATCAACACCGATTCTCATGATCAACATCGTCCTCATGTTTATGGCAACCAAACCGAGGTTAAAGTCAGAACTAGACTTGTCATCATAAGACCAGTGACGGCCACAAGAAATAAAAATTTCCGGTTTGGAATTGGGCTGTATGAGGCCTACATGTCACAATTTTGAATGCTATGGGCAGTTTGCGAGACGGCGTGCCGCACCAGAACCTGTTGACTACGACCTATGCGTACACACGCAGTCAAATCGATCGATGGCAAACTTACGTCAATTTAATCATGCTTCATAGACCCATCGAGTGCGGCACGCGAGGTTCATTCACAAATTGCAGCTGAGTGTTTGCCTTCGTGCTTTTCATGGGCTTCTTTCTGCGACTGGGGATACATTACAAAGCGGGTTATTAGGCAAGATGAGGCCATCAACCATGGCATTTTTGTCATGGTGTATCCTCGTTTTAAACTGAAAATGAAAAGCCCTCCTTTGTCAACACTAGTGGAGCTGGCGGAAATTACACGTGAAAAATATGTACACAGTATGTGATTGAATGTAAGCTCGCGGGCTTGGCAAAAACACAAACACGTAAGGGGGGTCTATTGAATTATATTTTGCAAGCTCAAAAATAGCAGCTTGAAAGACGTCATGAGTTTATCGAGCCAGTAAGACGTAGTAATGACAAGCAACCGCATAATGGCAGAAAAGTTTGTTCGTCCGAGCAGTTTCTCACCAAAACAACGTTGTTCTACCACTTAGCCGTAATGTCCTACAATCAATGGGGCGCGTTCGATCAAATCGAATGTTTGACATCTGTCTTCAGGCCATCCGCCTGGGGGTCCTCTATGGAGGCATCTACGCAGAAACGCCATTGCGTGTCCTGCACTAGTGATCTTCGCATTGGTGGTGAAAGTAGCCCCGAAATGGTGCAACAACAAAATCGAAGAGGCATGACATTTGAACAAGGACCGCCTCCACCCACTACAAGCGGCGGTTCAGGAAGTTGCTATCGTATGAAGCAAGCACAGCTACAGGGATAAAGCACTTGGTCAGTTTACCTTCCATTGGTAATCAAAGGCATACGTTTTTGTAACACACATCGCGGCTGAAAATAACATCTCCAAGTGACTCGAAAATTTGGGGGGAAAATTAAGGAATTGTAATTGAGAATTTAATGCACAGAAAATGTTGCACCATGAAATGAATTTCCAACAAGTATCACATGAATGCGCCGTACGGAGAGCATCATATAGACCAAAATGGCGGACGATTAATAGCATGAAATTGCGTTTTGATAAATTTATGTAGGTAGTGACATTTTCATGAAAATTTTAGTCCGGCGTAGGCTTGAGGGCAATACCTTGCGCAGGTTATATGTCGCATCCGCCACTTGTCTTGTGAAATGCCTTTGTTTCAGCGGCTTTCCTCATTTTAAAATCGTCCACCTGAGTTTGCCGTAGTTTCAATCATTTATAGGTCTTTGCATCAAATCCCATAACAAGACACCTCATGGAGAAACAAGGGTTGACCTTTTGCGGGGCAAGGAACTCATCAAATATTAACGGGAGGCAGTACCTGCAAGTGCGTGGTGCTATTCAAGCGGAATGATTTCAGTCCAAACACATGTTCCATTGCTGAAGTGGACTTCAGTTCCCCAAAGAAGACACGCACACGATAAGACAGCGTCCGTGTTCCTTGTACGAGTGACTTCTGGTTCTTCGCATGGCATTCGACTGTATAAAAAAAAACGTGAGTGAAAGCACGAAGTCATGTCGCATTACGTGCAAGACATGGTAATGACAAAGAACGGCAAATTGGTCTATTAAATATCATCATGGTTAGCTTCAGGCTGGGTGATTTGACGCAACGACTTTAGTGTCGCTGGTGTACTTGAGTGGTACCAGTGGTGGCGTACGCGTGTTGGTGGTTGTGGAAGCTTGAGTGTTGGTGGTAGTTGGAGTGGTGATTGTGAGATCCAACGTACAGTGACAAGTGATTTTTTTTCCGTGAAGAAACTACTTGTATGGGGAAAAACCCTTGTTACCAAAAGCCATAGTTCCCACAGAAATCGTATACCACTTTCAGTGTTCAAAACTATTGAACTTGAAGATACGTGCTTCAGACCATTGCATATAGAAGAGAGTACAGTACGCGCAGCGATGCCCAACTGCCTAAATCGACCAATGTCAGTCTGCTGTGTACACGTGACATGTTGGTGTTATTTTTAATTTATAGGCCAACTGTATTTCTCATTAAAAATCCCAAAATAGCTCACACAGGCTTACGCCAGTGAATACTTCGCAATGATGATATACATGTGTAATGAGGCATATACTTCTGTCTAACCCGTCAAAGTAAATTAATATTGCACAAAATTTTAATATTAAAAAATACTGGGGACGGCAGAATGATTGAACTAAACAAGGGAAAAGTTAAACTGAAATTATTATTATAACTTTAGAAAACAGTGTATCAATAATGATATTTTTCATTCAATCCTCAATACTTTACCTTGGAAATCTTGAAACATTTCCTTTTATGCTTGATTCAATTTCGATTTACTGGCGCCGGTGTAAGTGGTCTGCACAATGACCAGTTG